TTATATTTATAGATTTAGTAGTTAATAACTTAATATACAATTACAAATTAAAATCTTTAGTTAATAAATTACTTTGGTTTCTGATTATTTTAATAGAAATATGCTAAATTATATTATTATTATTGAATCTACCTATCAAATAATTATAATATTTTAATATTTTGTAAAAATAATACAGTACGTTACCTCTATACTCAACCAATAACTTATACTGAGTAGCATGCATTAATAACATTAAATTTAACAATAAGGATTTCTTTATAACTTTCAAAAAAAGTCAAGATTTCTTAACCATATTTACAGTTTAATATGGAACTCAATTAGTTTATAAAATGTACCAATAACTCATTTCCATCTAAAAAGAATTAAAGATTCAATAGGGATATACTTGGTCAAATTATAACCTATTTCAGGATTGTGCTACCCCATGCTAAAATAAAATTTACAGATTACAAGATGATTACCAGACAAAAACCGGACAATTTGCCCAGTGTAATTATAATCACCCAATAATCACATCGTACGCAAAAATTCAACAACAATGATAAAGCCATTTTACGTGATAAGTTCTAATTTTTATTTAATAGTTACGGTCTTGATCATGCATAGTAACAATTTTTTTACTTTTTCCGGAACAATTTATGTCCTTATTACAAAACGGAGTTTTAGCAAATCCCAATTTTTTTATAGTAAATAATTTATTTGTCATTATAAAATAAAAATATTGTTTTAGTTAATAACATTATTTATTATTGTACAACAAATAATAATATCAGTACATAAAAATCTGCAATATTAGTATAGTAAACAAAAATAGGTTCATGAAATCCGCATGACCTAATTAAGATGAGATGAACGATAACAAGAATTATTTATTCGTATGTATTAATTTCAATATCAACATTTACAAAATATAAAATTTTCAAATCAATTATACATGTGCTTGCACAGCACACGGACATCCTACAGAATTGTTTCCCAGAATTTTACTTTTGAGAGGAACTCTGACTCATCCTAGCACCTTTGGCAGTCTGTGACAGAATTATGACAACATTCATTCTCCAGACTCATCCAGAAAACATTCGGGCTCATCCTAGAATTAAACCAAAAGTGCATACGAAAGATTTGTTTCTCAGGAATTCAGACTCACCCAATCACTTTTGGCAATCTGTGACAGATTTATGACAGAATGCATTCTCCAGACTCATCCAGAGAACATTCGGACTCATCGGACTCATCCAAGCACTCTGAAATCAAAAATACATCCGAAAAATCATCTCTCAGGAACTAGGTTTCATCCTAGTACCTCCAATTCTTTTTTGCAACTTTATCTTCATTATCATCCTCTCGCTCTTTAATTGATATTATTATTTATTAAGTATACACAATGCTTTCCATATTTGTATTAATTTTAACCTATCATCATATGCTTTTGGAATTGTAATGTGTCCAGGCTAGATAAAAAAAGGAAAGAGGTGATAAGCCCAAAATCAAGCAAAAATATCTATACTTGAAAAAGGATTTTCATTCTCTCCTGACAATTGTGTATTCATCCTCTTTTCTACGGCATTTAAATGAACGAACATCTTTCGTAACCCGTATTTTCAATACAATTTATATACTTGTAATATACACGTGCCTTCAATCCACTCATACAGAATTTCTTTTGTTATTCACAAGACTTTTTGGTGGCATTTGTCCAATATAAATGGCCAGGCAAAAGGCTTTGGAGAATTAGTGAATCATCCGTCATAAACAAATTTCTTGTATTAGTCAAGTAAATCACAAAGAAAAAGATTAAACAAATAAATAAATTAAACATAAATTTACCTGAACATTTGTTGACAAAATGCCAAATCCGGTAGCCTCTATGGAATATATACTTTAACGGTGTGATGGAGACCAGTTTTGTCCTTTGTATAATTTAATTATTATACTTCCGTCGTGCTAAAACTGTATACATCACAGAAATTATACTGGTTCGAGTTGCCTAATGGATAAAGATCATAGCGTCATAATTCTTTTCAATTAATTCAATTCTAAATAAATATAACTACCGTCAAAAATGCGGAATAACACACGCGTCTTGCTGTTGGAATTATCTGCCTATCATCACAGTATGTAGGTTCCGGTGCTAAATAGCATAAAGTATCCCCAAGTTTGACATTACGTATGGTTATAGGACGCGGGTAAGGATAAAATTAAGTTGAATTAATAACAATTAATAAAATAAGATTTATGAGATTATGTTCATCAAATAGAGTCATAGAGGTCCTTTCCGAGTACCCTCATTGAAAACCTTGTCCGCTTGTATTGAATGATTTGAATCCTAAACACTTTTGTAGGCAAAGTTCAGTATCATCATACACTTTTGGTTAACAGAGAAAATTAACAAATCGATGACGATTATCACGTGATTTTGGCACACAACGCGAATCTGGTTTATTCAAGTCATCGAACTCGTTACGTAAGACACGTAATATACGTAAGATTTAACCAATCGAATTCGTCAAAAACCCCATACCTAGGATGGTAACTTGGGAGTTGGGACTAACTGTAAAATGTTTGATTCCGAATATATATAATATTTTTTTTTATCAAAGAACTTTTTTCACATTTTAGGGATTACTTAATCTTGTATCATGGAAATTGTATATTCGAAAGAAAAAGTAAGATATATTATTTGAGTAATAATAAAGTCAATTAGAAACGTTAAAACTTACAATTGTAAAATTTCTGGAGGATATTCTATGATTATATGAACTGGTTTGAATGTATATCTCTGCCAGTTGAATATTCAGTCATTCTCAGCCCAAATGACTCCTCCATCATCGCCTCAGAAATCCACTTAGCCTCGATAGGATCGAGTGGTTCACTGGCAAAATTAATAATCCTTGGAATATATATATACTCTATATGGCGTATCTTAATTCATCGTATACAATAGGTTTATTAGTGTTGGATAATAATAATACACGTGATATATATGGGATTTAACTCGTATTCCGCCATAGCGATGTAATAAATTTGGAAATCAAAATATTAAAATTCTAACTTTTACAGTAAAATAAAATAAACATTTATTTGACAAAAAAAAAAAAAAATTAATTTAAAAAAGATTGAAATTAAAAAAAAAAAAAAACGCCAAAGTTTATCTATTATTTTGAATAAATTATTATGTGTAATTTTGTTTGTTTGTCACTAGTGAATGTGGGGAAGGAAAACATTCTATTTATGATATAAATTACGATAATTCTGCAGAATGTTAATCAATTTATGGGTCATTTGATATTTTAAAAAAAAAAACTTGAGACCTTGATTTAGTTCAAGTTTTTTTTAAAAAATTTCCCACCAATGTTACAAACAATCTTCAACATATACTTTGTAGTAACTCTGTAGTAACTTTTTTGATTGTGAAATGTTTAGCTATCGCGAAGCTTATCAGTTAATTCAATTACATCACGGTGACGGATTGAAAAAAAAAAGTAGAACAGCGGAGTGCAGAAAAAAAGAGAGTCACACCACATATTAAGGACAATGGTCGTTGAAGATCTTTTCTTGCCAAAAAAACAGGTATTATTCCTATGTAAGAAAGCATGAATTATCAACATTTTCATGTTAAAATTACTGCAAGATTAGTTAATGGGCTGTTTAATTTTCAGTGACACACGAAAACGACAGCAAGTTGCATGATTTCTTTGTTTTTTTAATGCGCTTTTTTACGGATATTTGTAACTTTATGTCATGCGTAGATCCGATTTTCAAGACAAAGTCTCTTTTATATTAACCCAATTTTACCTTTTTTAAAATTTAAGTGATTTCAATAATGAATGCATGAAAAATATTTTTTTTTTTTTTTTTTTTTTTCTTTTTTTTCAGAATTTTTTTCGGTACTTATTTTTTTTTAGATTATTTTTTTTTTTTTTTTTTTTTTTAATATTTACCTTATCCGTTATTTTAATAGTTACAAAAATCTCTAAATCCCTTCAAATCTATCACCTCATTTCTCACCTGATTCAGATAATCCAGATACCTGGAGTTGTACTATAACTCGGCTTACCCCACAAACTCTCTTTCTTGTGACATTTCTCTTTTTATCACGGATGTAGTTTACGTAGTGTCACAACTTGCTTGGCTGATTTTCTCTGATTACATTTTGCATTAGTACTTATTTACAATAAGAAATTTTATTTTCCTGTTCTTTTTGTACTCTTTTAACCCCTTTCTATTTTTTTCAGCCCCCTTTGTTACCAATAAAACAGTACCATTAAATATATATATATATAAAAAAAAATTCAAATTTTTATTTTTCACTTTTTTCAAAGCGGACAATTATTTTTTCGTTGTCTCTTTATCATATCATAGATCCTTTTACATTTTTTTTTTTTTTTTTTTTTTTATTTTCAGATTCCTTTTTTTTCGGAAATTTCCCTTTTTTTCTTTTTTTATCATTTAATATTGTCCTTCACGCGCTTCCTTTCCATACTTGATTAAAAAAAAAAATTATATGTCGTAACCCATACCTTACATCACATTTACATTTTTTTATTTTAATTTTAATATTTAAAGTATCATTAATAAATCAAAAGCATTCATTATATAAATGCATTGTCTCCCTATACTATTTTTCTTTCATTAGTCCTTTATTAAAATCATCGAATCTCGGGAGAATTTATTATTCTGTTCGTTCACGAAGACAGAAATAAATAAAGAAGAGTATAGGGTATAGTTTATATAAACTCTCACTATTATTCTTTTTTACCATAATAAAAAAAAGCTTACATACTTTTCGTTATAATTTAGAGGTGTATTCTACTCTATTGACCTCGATAATTATTATTTAATATTTAGTTAGATTTTAATAAATAACTGAGTTATTTCCTCAATTATAAAAAATCAAGGTTTCTTTTTTTTTCTTTTAACTTTTTTCTCTGTCGTTTTTTACCTGCCGCAGTAATAACTTATATTATGTATTGTATTTTATCATTTCTTTTAAAAAGATGTCGTCAACAAAGGAAACTTACTTTAACCCTTCTGAGCGTATTGGAAGTTTTATTGATAATGGTCGTCTCGAGATAACTAATATCCTTGGAATCGGTGCCTATGGTGTAGTTTATTCTGCAAAACATGTTTTAAATCAACATGTATATGCGGTAAAATGTATGCCAAAGACAAATATTGATGCAAGACAACATCGATTACATGAATCAGAGATAAGATTACACGCTCAAGTTTCAGGCCATCCAAATATCATAAGTTTAGAAAAAGTTGTTGAAACCTCTGATACACTTAACGTAGCACTTGAATATTGTCATGAGGGTGATTTATTCTCAATGATAACTGAAAAAGGTGGTTATCTTGGAAATGATCAACTTATCAAACAAGTTTTTATACAAATACTCGATGCTGTACAATTTTGTCATTTTAACGGAATTTATCATCGAGATTTAAAACCTGAAAACATCCTAGTCTTTGATGGAGGAAGGACTGTAAAACTTGCTGATTTTGGTTTGGCTACAACTGATTGTTGGTCGAGGGATTTCGGTTGTGGATCAACTTTTTATATGAGTCCAGGTATTATTTTATTTTATTTTTATCTTATTTTATTTTCATTCATTATCAATTATTGAAAATATATATATATCTATTTTAGAATGTCAAGGTGGACTAAATAAAAGAGTACGAGGATATGCAACCGCTTCCAATGATGTATGGTCTTTAGGAGTTATTCTTATTAATCTTACTTGTGGTCGTAATCCTTGGAAACAAGCTTGTCTTCGTGATGAAACTTTTTCCGTATTTTTACGAGATCGTGATTTTTTAAAGACAATTCTCCCGCTTTCTGACGAACTCAATGAAATTTTAAAAGATATCTTTACTCTTGATCCTGAAAAACGCATTTCATTGGATGAACTTAGAGAACGTATACTCTCATGTCGCAAATTTACTGTATCAGAATATGACGATTTTATCGAAGAGGAAGAAATCTCTTCAACATCACATGATCGTTTATCTACAAGTTCTTCCGCTACTGCTTGTTCATGGTATTCAATGAATTCAGAACTAGGTTTCTCAGCTGCCCCTTCGGAATTCGACGATTATGATCGTTGTTCAACTTCAAATAATTCTGCTTCTTCTTTGTCAACTTTAGCAAATAGTCAGCCAGATTTGATTAAATGTATCGATCATGACTTGGAATTCAATCTGAAATGCGATGACCATTTAATGGAAAATCAAAAAATTCAGACTATATATACCTTTTAAAAAAAAAAAACATTTCATTTAAAATTTCCCTCATTCGAAGAACTTTTTCGTGTATAAAAAATCAATTAATTTTTAACTGGAGATTATACCAACCCTATAACATATGATTACCCTTTTCGTATTTAAGAGTTATTTTGACTCTTTTTTTTTAAAAAAAAACCCATAAAGATATATTTAAATCGATTTAATTCGTACAACATATTTACAATCAAATTTAAAGAAACAATTATCATCTCATGTTTCAAAACGATATAAAGTTTTGTAACATATAAGAAATTTTTATACCTTTTTTTTTTAATATGCGATTTTTATTTATTTAAGGAAGTATTTATTCGTCGTTTATATTATCGAATTACTTATCTCCAGATTATTATTAATTTACCTTCGACTTTTCAATTCACTTTAATTATCATTTTCATTTTGAAAATAATTTCTTGTAAATATTTTTTTTCTACGTCTTGTTTAATTTTCGTAAACAAGATTTCAAAACTTTTATCTTCTTGTATATAGATTTTTTTTTAGTTTCATTTAGTTTTGGAAAATTACTAAACGGATTTCGAATTACAAACACAAACACAAACACAATTCGCAAACGCAAACACAAACGCAAACAAACAATATAAATAAAAAATAATAAAAAAAAGAAAAATGCTTACTGGTTAAGTGTTATTTGAATATACAATTTTCTTATGGATTTGTTTTATTGTTATTTGTTATTATTTATAATTAATTTTAAGAATCAATTCTAAATATCTTTGATTAATTATATTTATGAATTGCATCCACAAAATTTAACTTGTAAACTAATTGAAGACGATTAATCATTGCTATGAATTGTTGACTTTATTAATTAAAGCAAATCTGACACATTCATTGGCATCTCATCTATTTGAGTACTATAGAACTGTTCAATATCACGAAGAATTCTAACATCGTCTGAAGTCACAAAGTTGATAGCAACCCCTGAAACAATAAAAAAAAATTTATGAAGTGTGATTGAAATGATTAATCTTAATCTGTAAAAAATTTACCTTTTCTTCCAAAACGACCAGATCGACCGATTCGATGAATATATAATTCACGGTTACTTGGCAAATCGTAATTTATTCTTTATTAAATAATAATAGAAATAAATATGTTATGTTACCATATCGAAATTAATTAAATCTAATGTATAAAACGCAAACACTTCAAATATTCTTACACTAAAGATACTTGTTGGACATCAATACCGCGAGCCCATACATCAGTAGTAATTAACACACGACTTGAAAACAAGGACGCATCATTGTAAAGATTATTTATGTTCAAAGTCAATATAAAAAGGAAATAATTATCAATTATGGTATCAAACCTTGAGCCTTGACGAAATTCCTGCATGATAGCATCCCTTTCTTTTTGAGGCATATCTCCATGCATTGATGAAACCGTAAAATTTGCTTCTCGCATTTTTTCAGTTAACCAATCGACCTAAGGTTAATTAAATTATATTTGAAGTTGTTTGTGTCGAATTTAAAACCGAATAAGAAGACTTACCTTTCGACGTGTATTACAAAATATTACCGCTTGTGTAATTGTAAGTGTATCATACAAATCACAAAGAGTATCAAATTTCCATTCCTCCTTTTCAACTGCTACGAAAAATTGTTTAATTCCTTCCAATGTCAATTCATCCCGTTTAACCAATATGCGAATAGGTTCTGTCATAAATTTTGTAGTCATTTCAAGTACATCGTAAGGTAACGTAGCACTTAAAAGAACGACCTGTGTATTAGGTGGAAGATATCGATATACATCATATATTTGATCTTTGAAGCCTTTATTGAGTAATTCATCAGCTTCATCTAATACGAGCATCTTTATATGACGAGTTCGCAAATTTCGACGTCTAATCATGTCAAAAACACGACCTGGTGTACCAGAAACAACGTGCTGACCATGATCTAATTTACGAATATCCTCTCCAACACTAGTCCCTCCAATACAAGCGTGACATTGTACGTTCATATAATCACCAAGCGCTAATATCACACTCTGTATTTGAGTTGCCAATTCCCTTGTAGGGGATAAAACGAGAGCTTGGGTTTCTCTAACTGTTGTATCTATACATTGAAGGATAGAAATGGAAAAGGTAGCTGTTTTACCCGTTCCAGACTGTGCTTGTGCGATTACATCTCGACCTTTTATTATAGGAACAATAGCTCTTTGCTGAATCGCCGACGGCTTTTCAAAATCTGGGAACAATTTGTAAAATAATTATTATTCATTAATTTTTAGTTATAAAAATTTTTATACTTACTATAGGCGTAGATCCCCCTTAGTAAATCTTCCTTTAAACCTATGGCATCGAAGGTGGGAACCCTAAAAAAAGAGAACCGAGTTATTATGCGAAATATAGAATATAAAATATATAAAATAGAAATAAAATGACTACTCAACACTTTCACATCTTCACTAGTTTCAAAAACTAATTTTTCATCAGCTTTTCGATCAAACTATAATGGCATTAACAACTAAATAAGTATCCATTAAATGAGCGGACTCAACTATTCTATAGGAGTAACTTAAATACCTTTGACATGTTTAAAATGCTGCTTTTTTAACGATTCTTCGATGAACAAATTTTATAATTTTGAGTTTGCCAAGCCACCCAAATTTTATATTAAAAAGTGGCGCAGTCAATTTTGATATAGGAGGTGATAAATAAGATTTCCTCAAAAAAAAAGAAAAAAGAAAAAAGAAAAGGAAAAGGAAAAAAAAGATTGAAATGATGCAGTGACAATTTATTATATATAAAAACCAAAAGTATTACATATACTTTTAAAATAACAATTAAATTGCTAATTAACAGAAATATGCAAAGCAAAGGTTATTTTTGAAATTTAGTTGAAAAAAATCAAATTTACAAGTACACAAACTAAAAAATATTTTACATCAATACTAATATACATGTGCAATCATCATATTCCTGTAAAGTATTTTCAAATAAGACCCGATCACCCTCTCGATTACAAAGATGAGCTACAATTTTCTTTAGCTGGCATCTAGCATCCAGTTGTTGTCCAATACAAGTAGCGATTGTTTGATTTTGCAATTCTGCCTTATTCGAGTACAAATGGTCAAATAATCCGTCGCTACTCATTAACATGAATCTATTACCATTATATTCTGTAAATGGTCCTAATTTTTCAAAAAATATGTCCGGCTTACAAGATATTACTGGTTTTGAAGGATTCAGTTTAAAAAGTAAATCACCACAAGTTGCAGCGACATTAAGTGAAAAATGAATGCCATTATTATTTTTGTATGGAACACCGAGATCATTATCGGCGGCTTGTAGTCTAATGCGTGCATTCTTCAAATTTGCACGAACATTACGTTCTTGAGGAAATGGGTCAAATTTGATAGGTTTATCCTGATTATCCACAAATACACCACCATTAGAATATATTTGTAAAGCGAGGCGTTCTAGATATGGCTTATGATCTTCACTAGAAAATTCTACCATCCACTTATTATCCGTCTTACAACCAACAAGTGTACGGGAATCCCCAACATTTACATTGATGAACCATTCACCAAAAAAGAGATTAATAACTAGGGTAGCTCCATCATCGACAGGTTCTACTTGATTACTCCTACCCCTATTATGAATTACATCATTCTGCCATTTACGATATTCTTCACGTTTAGCATCAAGATATTCATCATCTAACCTTTTAATAAGCAAAGTTATGTCCTGTTTAAACTTCTCCTGAACCTTTTGATCATCTAGCTGTGAATAATCATATTGACATAACATATTTTCTAAACGACTTGGTATTTTATTAGTTAGAAATGCGGAACATCCAGAACCTCCATGCCCATCTGCTAAGCAAAATAATCTACACAAGAAAGATCCATCCGAATTTTTAAGATCTTTTATTGAAAAAGAATCTTCACAATTTGACTTTGGGCATCTCATATTGCCCTGATGTCGAAATCGAGCATAAGAGTATCCTACTTCCTGAGCTACAGCAAATGATGTAGGGCCAATGAATAAATTAATATCAAAATTTGATGGCTCACTCGTTGTACACAGTGAGGAATTAAAACCTTCGACGCTATACAAACAAAAAAGTTTATAAATATGGTAAAAATATTATCTCACTATTCAAATAAAAAATGAAAATCATACTCGTTCGGTATTGGTTCATTTGTGACTTGCTGTGATGTATCCATTGATATATCGCTTTCAGACGAATCCGACTCGCTCTCACTTGTAAATTCACTTGTAGAATGATATTTAGCAATTCTCTTACGTGAAGGTTGTTCATCTGACGAATCTGTATCGCTCTCATCAGTTGCACTATCATCAGATTCGCTATCAACAGAATCACTTTCCTCAGAATCGCTTTCCGACGTGTATTCATAGAGCTGCTGTCGAGATTTAGTTCTTTTCGTTTGTGTGATTTTCCTGATTGCAGGCCTCTTTGGTGGGGGTTTTTTATTTTTTACTTGTGTTTGTGTTCTCTTTTTAGTATACGTGAGTTTTCGCGCTTTAGGACGAGGTTTTCTTACCGGAGGATTTTGGTTCACATTATCGGGAGGAGGATTCATATCCATCGAGGCAATAACTTCTGAATCTTTTGGAAAAAGACTTAAGGAAATTCGATAACAAACACCATAAGTAGCTTTATATTTTTCAATAGGAGGTTCTACTTTTAGTGTTCTGGCCGTAGAGAGTCCTGTGGAAATTGCACCTTGAATGGTAGCTCTCGGCGTATTTCCCCTAAGTAGTCAGCAGAATTAGTCAAGCTCGACACGAGTGAAAAAAGACTACGATCACAGCGTGCCAAGAATTCGAGGAGGAAAAACACACCGAAGTTGAGCTAGATCTAATTTCCGACAATCGTCTACAAAAAAAGCAGAAATTAAATTTAGTCATATTTATCGTAAAAAAACTTCTAATTTTATCGTCAAACGTGGCGACTAGCATACCGACTAACTGCATTGCAGTCATCCATTGGTTTCTGTTATGCAGCAATGTTTTTATTATAGCATTAAAAACTTTATTGCAACGCTGTTCAGGTCTTAGTGCAAGGCTTTCGAAAGAAGGCATATTTGGCAGGTCCGTCATTTTCTTAACCGAGTAGCTGTGAAAAAACTAAAATTGTGATTCTTTATATAATTAAGAAAACCTTTATGAACTAAAAATAAATTACCTTTTAAATGTTTTTAAATTCAATCACTGCGGCGGAGATGAAATCTTTTTCGAACATTTTTTTTACGCAGCAAATTTTTACATGAAAAAATTCCGCAATAGTAAATTTATTCATCACACGTGTCACGTCCCTCTGTGTTTACATTTTCTATAAGTATCTGAGGGACTTGTTTTTTTCGGTTAGTTAAAATCCTATTTGTCACGCATTAGTCGTCACTGTTTATTCACGTGTTACTGCATAGTGCCGGAATTTTTTGGGCAGATTTCGGGTGTCATAGGGGCAGTTAATATTTACAAATAACATGTGACAAATAACATGTGACGAATTACACAAGTCACGTTAAAGTACAATTATTATATTATATAAAATAAATAAATAAATATTCTATAGCAGTATAGCTTACCGGCAGTATTATTTCAAAAAAAAAAAAAATATATTAAATTATAATTTTTTTTTGATTTATATATGAATATTAAATTATATTGCTTAACATAAAATAAATAAATATTAAATTATATAATAAATTTAATTTAGGAGCTTTTTCTTTTTTGAAAGTAATTATGATTTTTCTGTTAGTTTAGTTTTTTTTTCTTTAGCATTTTTGAATTTTTTCCTTTAGCATTCTTTTGAAAGAACTGGAAGGTATTAAGATGTAAATCAGTTGGATTTAAAGATTTAAATTTATTAGATAACTGGTTAAATTAGTAATTATTTGTTTATATAAAAATATAATTTGTTAAATCTGATATATTTATATAGATTTAAGTGGTTAATTAAAAGATAACTTACAAGATTAAGATATATTATTTTACACTAAACTAACTTTTTATGCAATAATTCTTCAGACAAATATTTATTAGTAGATTATATACAAGTTGATTGTAATATTTCTAAAGATCTAACTAGTTTATTTAAATGTAATTAAGAAAACTAATACTATAATTTTGCTAATAGATGGAAGAATCTTATAAGGATTATAAGGGAATTTAACAGGATCTGCTTATTACTAATAGATGTTACTGTAGAAAATTTTAACTTTTATATAGAATCTTATCTTAGGATTTGCTTAAATTCTATTGGTTAATTAGTTAAAAAGGAAAAAAATCATAATAATATAACATAAAATTTCCTTTTATAGTAGAATTTTTAACAAATTTTATATATAAACTTTACCTTAAACTTAAAGATAAAATTCTAATACTATGAATATATTCAAAATAACTTTTAATAATTAATAATTTTTAATTTTTAAGTCAAAACTAATTAACTGTAGAATTCCTATCAAATTTCACTTATATTTATAACAATTCATATTTTACTAAAAATTACAAATAAGAAAAATAAGAAAATATTTTTATTTATCTTTCTTTCTTCTTTTTTTCCTTCTATTTCTTATTTTTGAGTAACTAAACTAATAATAACTAAACTATAAATATAACTAATCCAAATATAAATAAATATTAACTCTTAAACTGTTTGCAGCCAAATTTGCCTGCAATTTTATTTTTTAATTAAAGACACTTTTAAATACCTTAAAATATTTTATTATATAAACCAATATTTTTGTAATAAATTCTATAGTATTTTTTAATAAGTAAAAATCAAAAAAAAAGTTCAATTTAATTAATGATTTTTTAAAAGTAAATAATTGACAAATTATAACAAATAGTAGCTAAATTTTTTAAATTGAAATATCTTTTTATCCATTAACTCTAGAAATATAAAATTACCACCATTTGATGCATCTTAATGAGAAGAATCTGATAGAAATAAAATTGTTCTTCTATAAATATTATATAATAGGATAACTTATAAAATCTAAAAATTTATAAATTAATATAATTTTTTATTTATCAATTTTAGAATTATAATTTTATTACCATTAAATACACCTTAATAACAAATATAATTTCATCTTTCTATGATCATTAGATCTTAAAATAATTTAAAAATTCAAAAAATTTTTAAAATTAGTTTTATCTTTTAAAGTTTAAGGGATAACTATAAATATCTATTTTTTTTTTTTTTTTTGCTGCAGCATATTTAGATCTTTATTAGAATAAATGCATTTATAATATATCATACAAATGAAAATAAACTAAATAAACTAATTTAATAAAACCTAAACCACTCGTCATTCTGAAAAGGACTTACATGTATACTATCAAACAGAATTTAGACTATAAAAATACTTTCTGCATTAAACGCATACTTGTTCTTAGAGAGGATTCACTCCTTTCAGTTTACATCTATAAGGAAATTTCAGCGAGACTCATTATGAAATAACAAGAAAAAAAAAGGATTTTAAAACAAAAAATTCAGGGTAAAAAAAAAGGTTAATATATATAAATGATAGCAAGCACTCTGTACCTCCTAAAACTTCTTATTTGGTTCAATCATTCTGTCAGTTGATCAGTGATCTTAGCAATGCCAAATTTCAGCTAAAATCATAAGTTTATCATTGTTATTGAAGTCTTTATTATTTGAAGTAAATTGCTTTTTTTTTCCAAAAGACTTTTCTTTCTTAAACTGTTTATCATTGTGATTATTATAACATCCATATTAAGGATGGTACTACAATTGATTAATTAAATCTGCAATATTGCAGATTTTGGAGTTAAATTGTAGTTAGTGATCCGCAATTTCACAATTCATCTGATCGGTTTTAGTACTAGTTTACTGAACCAATTTAATAAAAAAATGTTTATGCAATATTTTTTTAACTAATTTAACAAAAAAATATTGTAAACTATTTTTTCAAAGTACTTTTAATTAAAAGAATGTTTACTCAACGTTTTTTAATTAATTTAAAGAAAAAATGTTGTAAAATGTTTTTTTAAAGTATATTTAATTAAAAAAATGTTTCGCAATATTTTTTAATTAATTTAAAGAAAAAATGTTGCAAAATGTTTTTTCAAAGTATATTTAATTAAAGACGATTTCTATTTGTACACTATATGTTTGAATATCATTTCCAAAAAAGCAAATTTTTATGCTGATCATTTAATGCGAAAAAAAGCAAGTGTATCTGTATATGAACACAGGTCACGTGATTATAATAAAAGTCATACAATAACAAAAGTTCACGTTTAAACCAATAAATTTATTTTTAATAAAGTTCTACTAACAACACATTAATAAAATCAATTGTGCTACATGTAACATACAAGTTTATTCTTTACAAATTCTAAAACTTGTAATGACCCAAAAACCAACTTAACAACTTACCAATTCTAACTAACATTCTTTATGACCAACGATCCTAACATCATTCTAATGATCCTAATAACTTAACAGCTAACAATTCTAACAATTTTCATTAATGCTCCTTCCTAACAATCAATAATCCTAATTCCTAACATTTCTAATACTCCTAATATCCTAATGCTCCTAATGCTCCTACTAAGTTTTAATATTCCTAATACTAACATTATAATAATCTAATAACTCCAACAATCTTAATGAAAAATAATGAAATTAGCAAACATTATCAAATTTTAACAACTTAAACTCAAAATTTCAATGAATCACGAACCTTGATGAAATTCTAGCCCAAGATAATTATATTAAGATTTGGCAAGTTTTAGCATAATATCCATATTGTTTGCATTTTCCGCACTTACATCCTTTACTACCTTCTGCATTTTCGTCAATTTGCATGCTATTTCTTAATGCATGCTTACCTTTAGAGAAGGATTGTTCAACATTTGATTGCAGCCTTTTTGGTGGACGTTCTTTATGCTTGGTGATATTGGGATTGTTAATATCAAGGTAATCTTCTTCATTTGTTTGCTGCTTTTCATCAAATTTATTTTGTATATCATATAGAAATGTTTTAAACATATTAGATAGGTCTCAGTACATATCAGCTTTAATAGCTGAATTAATAATCTTTCTTGATAATTCAAACAACTCTGCATATATAGTTTTATTTAATTTTGTTATTGAATTGGAATGGCATAATATAGATCGAATAGAAAATAAATGGTTGAATGTACTATTGGTAATAGGAAGATTTTCATTTGAATTGTTTGTAGAACATAATGTCACAGGTCAAAATCAAGGCTATCAGTTGCATATCGGGTACCAGATATATGTAGGATATGTATATGATATGTATACGATATGCAACAATTACACACATATCGGGTACCTGATATCTGTAATGTTTATGCAGAAGTTTGGTGATATATATTATAGATATCGTGCACATATTATACATATATCGGGTAGTATAATATCGGGCACATATCTTATACATGTCGTATAAATATCATATAGATATTGGTCAGTATAATATCGGACACATGTTATATAGATATCGGGTAAATATAGGATACATATCGTACATTTATCTGACAATACGATAGATAATTTTTTCATATAATATTATAATTTAATCTGGGCAAAATTATAATTTCAGATTAATTTTTAATTTTAATTCGGGCTAAAGTAAAATTTTATTACACAAATTTTATTCTTATTTTCAATTAAATTAAAAGTTTTATTGTTTTTTAATTAATAATAAAAAAGATTACAAAAAAATATATTATTCTATATAGCTATATAAATAATTAGATATCTGTTATCTACAAATGGCGCTTATTTTTATCTGTTTAATATTTAAAAGAAAGAAATAGTATTTTAGTAATAAAGATATTAGTATGAATAATGTATTCGTAAAAGAAAAAGAATAGTATTAAAAAAATGTTAGTAAAAAATGGTTAGTAATAGAAAATGTTATTAGTATGTTTAGTAGTAAAATATATTAGTAAAAACAAACGTTAGTAGGTTAGAAAAAAAGAAAATATAAATAAAAATTAGTAAAAAAATATACCTTTGTATTTATTTCACCTCTTTTTTTGAAGTTTGCTGTTTAAAGAGAAAATAGATCTTGTTAATTATTTTTCTTTAATAAATAAAAAAAATAAATATTTAAATTACCTTGATGTGCGTTACTCTCATATTCTTCTGAAGATATATGATTAGATCTTCTTTTTCTTGAGTTTACTATATATAAACCAAATTAATTTTTGATTAAATTTTTTTAAAAAGAATGCTTAGATTACCTTGATATGTGTTGCTTCCAAATTCTTTTGATTTAGAGTTTTTTTTCTTGAATTCGCAGATATAGGATTACCATCTTGACGCACAGTATCAAAAAATGTCCGCCTTTGATGTGGAAGGTACTTAGAAACCACCTCGTCTCCCGATTAATGAGACCCTAAGTCAGAGGAGGCTAGCCTATCGGGTACAAGTACCCTACAACTTCATCTCTAGGTAGTCAAAAATCTTGGGTGGTTCCAGACCACAGCGTACTACATGATTAGTCTTTTGACATGTTGGGATTTGATAAGTGAAAGAAAAAATAACTCCAGCGCCAGCGTTTTGTAAAGAATAATAAAATAATATTTTTAAGTTAGTTCTTTCTTTATTAAATTTTTGAAAAAGTTTTGTTTCTTAAAATCGTAAAAAAATGCTGGTTGCTACAACTGACGGACAACGACAAATTGTCAGGCTACCCCCGGACAAAGTAATTGGAAGGCAGAAAATGTCATAAAATATCCAGCCCTATTTTATAACATTTTCCTCCAGGCTAAAGCAAATATTACAAAAGAAATTGCAAATATATTTAACAAGCAATAGATACATGGCCGTTGAAAAATATATTCACACTTATACCACAAAGAAAGACTCAAACCACTATTGTAAAGAAAAATATGAAAAATACGCGTATATCCTATTTTCATACCTTGCTTAACAGTTCCACTATTTATTTAAAAGAGACTTTTCTCTTTTTTGTATGTGGGTAGGGGTACATTTTTTCCTTTTTTTTATTCTTTTCTTTTGTATATGGTAGATGAGTACGTCTTACTATATTAAATATATAAACTAAAGTGCCAAAGTATTGTTAATATTGTAAAAGATAAGTAAAGTATACTTGGATAAAAGAGAAAAGAAGAGACGAACCGTAAAGCGTTAATAAAAGATAAGTAAGAAGAGAAAAGTGTATTTTTGAAAATAAACAAAAAAAATCGCGCATTAATTTTAGATATCACATGTATGTAATCAAAGCGATTTTAATTGGTTATTAATATACATGCATAAATGTCATGTGATTTTAGTGACCTATACAAAAGATAAAAATTATTTTACAAAAAATACGTTTCCAACCTTCCAACCAGTGTATAAAATCTGGAAAAAAAAATGTGCTCACGTGCACATAAGAAAAATTTTTTTTTTTGTGCACGTCACGAACTCAATTTTTAAAAATTTTTGTGCACAAAAATGTGCACTATATTAATTTATAATATAAAACGTCCTAACTTTTAAATCCTAAATTCCTAATTATATTATAGATTTTATTTATAAAATATAATTAATTACACTAAAATGTTCCAAAAAAATGAAAAATAAATCACTATAATTATTAAATTGCCCGATCTTTAGAAGCCCAATGATTGTAAGCTGCTAAATAATTGAAATTTTCAAAATTTTGAGGGCCATTTAAAGAAACATGTAAATGCATATTAAGAGTATCAATATGCACTCTGTTTCGAATGTCAGTTTGTTTTGATTAAATTTTGCCTAGAAAATACACGCTCCACCACAGTGTTAGAAAAAGGTATAATTAATGACAAATCAATAAGAATAATAAGATTAGGGAATTGGTTTCGGAAATGAGTAGTATTAAAGATCTTATACCAACATTCAGTAAATTTACATCCTTTGGCAAATCTATATGACGCAATTAGATTTTTAGCCAAATCCCATTCTTTCTTAACTTCTTCGTCATCAATTAATGAATGCTCATCATTATTAATTCTTTTTTTCTTTCCATAAAAATGTATAAGATCCAAAAGCTCTTCTTCACATAGTTTTGTAAAGCATTTTTATGCATTTTTATCAAGCGGCACTTCATGAGGATCAAAAATTCGTAAAGAATAATATAAATTTTCATTAGGAAATCTTTTTCACAAATTTGTAATAACTTTTTCAGCATAATGTTTAATAAAATCTAATTAACAAACATAATTGAGCAAAAATTTATTAGTAATTAATTTAATAAATAAGTTAAAAATAAACTAGCCTGGCAAATCTTCAGGGTGTAATTCTAACTCATCTATTAACTTTCGCAAATGGGTACCATACTTCGGTAAGACATCTGCAGATCCAATAAAATTTGCGGTTATAGATTCATATGCCATTTCGAGTTGTGATCATAAAGAAATATAATCAAATTGAAAAACCAATATAATTTTTTTTAAAATAAAAAAAAATATCAGCAAAAAATTTTGTCAGAATAAGAAATTCGGTATCCACATTGCGTTAAATAAGAATTTAGCCGTATTAGATGAATTAACATCACGTTGTAATGCTTTTTGAATGGGTTCAATTATTTGGTGAAAATTGTTAATTACATTAGACCATGATAGCCATCGCGTATCACATACATTAAGAATTGTTAAATCAGAAACTTCCATATCTTCTTTGATTTTTTTTAATTCATACATTCGCTTATATGAATTAGAAAAATAAGAATAAATTCCTTTAATTATAGTTTTATAATGTGCGAAATATGGTGTTTCATTTGCAGCTTCTTCTGAAGCTAAGTGTAAGCGATGTGCAACACAATGTGTTGATGTAATAAAATTATTAAGTTTTTTTAGTTGAGTTGCAACACCATTACGAATGCCTAAGTAAAATGATAAAATATATATATATATATATATTATTAAATTATATATTTTTGATTAATTAATTATTATTTAATAATTACCTGTCATGGTTGCAGCTCCGTCACTACCAAAATGTCTTAATTTCGTTATATCCAGTTCTTTTTGAGTTATAAAAAGGTTTATTACATTCATAATTCCATCAGCCGATGCATCTGTTATTTGTGTCAATCCAAGAAAATGAAAATAGGTCTACCATTTACTAAATGTTTTGAAACTAATGCAATAGTTTTTTCAGATATAACATTTGTATTGCTTTCATCAATAAGTAAACTCTAACATGGTGATTCTTTAACCTCAACAACAACGCTTTCTTCAATAATAGTAAATATAGAAAAAAGTAATTCTCTTTCTGCAACTGCATTTTTATAAAGTGCATAATTATTAGTTGAAGATGATGAAGTTGTAATTTCAGAATGATTTTGAAGAAGAGGTGGACGAAGATTTTGGATAAAATTTTCATCCCCAGTTTGATATTGATAATTAATTTGATATGTAATTAAATCACAAAGAGATCTATAATTATTAAGTGCTATATTATGTTGTGTTAAATAATATACATTACGCATACAACAAATAATTAATGCTTGATTATGGTTCATTTGTTGCATAAAGCCTTCTTTAATTGTCAACTGATCTGAATTTTTTGCATTAATTGCTTTTATATGCTTTTCAATACAATCTTCCTTTAACCACTCCAAACCAGTAGTTGTCCACACACTAGAACTATTTGCATTTTTGCATATTTTACAAAACATAACTTCTTTTCCATTTCTTTTTTCACAATATACATTTAAGGTTATCTTTTTCTAAACGTGAATATTTATTTTTTTTTATTTTTATTTTTCGCCTTAAATAATCTCATTTCATTATCTTCAACATCATTAATTTGAATAACCTCTGTATTTTTATCATTTCAATTTCTTATTTTTGTTGGTTTGTCAGTTTTTTTCTCTTAAGGAGTATAATTATTTAGATATTTTGTGATATCTTCCATTCTTATTACGCTTAAAAAAAAAGAAAAATTAGATTATCATATCGTTTATCTAATACGAATATATATACAATGCATATCAAATTTTTTTGTGCACGGAATAAAATTTTTTGTACACGAAATTGTGCACTATTATTTGTGCATTATGGATAAACCACATGTGAAAAAAAATTGGTGTATGGCAGTCTGCCAGATAATAAGGGACCAATAAATTAATTAGCATAACGAAAACAATTTTTAAGAGCATTGGATATCATTTAAGGATCTTATAGAAAAGGCTTTAATTTTTAGTGGCGCTGAAAATTTTGATGATAGTCATGTATCAATTATTAAGTATTATTTGATTCTTGCATCAAATCATTAAGTTTAGCATTATTTGAAGACTTTTTTATTTAATATAATAATTACAAACATGTTATTATTTTATGTATTTATTATAGCTTTGAAGGATATCGGAATGTGAATTATTATTCCGTGAATGAAAATAAAAAACTCATTCATCATTATCGACTAAAAAAGGAAAAGAAATTAATAAATTTTGTATTTACGACTAAAAAAGAAAAAAAAAATTAATAAATTTTGTACTTACCATTTCGATCTTCTGTATTTAGAGTATTCGTATTTTGAGTATTCTGGCTTTTATGTGCTATAAAATAATTAAGAAAATCAATAAAAATTTATAATTTGATTAAACTTTTATACTTTACATACCATTCCTTCTGTTTCGTCTGCGTTGAGTTTTATTAATACCAATTGAAGCCTGTACAAACTGATCATCTAGAAACATATTAAATCATATTAAATAAAACAATTTACCTCTTTAATATAATCATTTTGTTTATTATGTAATGTTGTTAGATTTAAAAGTTCTTACCTGGTTTCTCCCAAAACCGTGTATTCATGACTTCAAAAAAAATGGCACCAGCACGGCTTCTTGCCCCTCTCAGATCGTTTGCAATCACTAATAATTGATCCTAAAGTATTAAGTGTTAAATATTACTATTACAACAAATTTTTATTAATATTTAACTCACGTGATAACCGGTCACTAATCCATTGAATTTTGTTTGGCACTGTTTGCCCGAATAATTGCTCCCACACCTCTCATTTACTTTATTCGCAACGGAATTCCAGAAATTTTTTCTACTTCTTCCTGCAATTTGATAATGGTACTCAAAGTTTCTTGACCTCTGCTGCTCAATCAAAGCAGCGATTTGGTCATCCGACCACTCCACCCGGCCGGAAGAATAAGTTATAGTGTCGAAAATAGAGGTAGTATTGACATTGATGGTATTGGTATTATTGACGGTGGTTGAATCAGTTGAAGATGAGGACATTGTTTGAAATTTTGTTAAAAAATTGTTTAGAATATTTGGAAACATATTTGATAAAAAAAAATATGTATTGATTATAAAAAAAAATATGTATTGATTATTAATTAGTATTGATTATCAAAAAAATGCGAGAAAGTTCTTGTAACAATTCTAATTATGCCATTCAATTATCATGATATTACATCATTTCATTTTTTAATTATTAGTACAATTTTTAATGTAACACCATTTCAAAATGATTTCGTTGATTCATGATATTATATCATAAAATTCACAAAACATAGAATTCGTAAAACTCCGTCTCTTGTCCATTAAAAGTGATTAAAAAGTCGATCTTCCATTGTTTTCCATCGTACAAAAAAATAAAATTAGCCATTAAAAGTGATTAAAAATTTTGTAAATTAGGCCCAGTATTATTCTTACGTAAAAATTAACATTTATTTATTACTACTTACTAATGCGAAAAAAAATTAATTAATTTTATTAATTTTACATCTCGGATTGATTTAATGTTAATTTTCAAATGTTGAATTAATGTTGAGCGCGTTAAACAAATTCGTTGAGCAAAAATTATGCCTATGTAATACGCGATTAATAATTTTTCATTTGATGAAAGTCACGAGACATACTATCTTCTTGCTTATATTATACACGATTATCACTAAGCTTGAAATGGAAATCAAATGTGTCATCATTTTCTTTATTTGGTGTGGCATACTACAAGTTAAATCTTCTATTCAAAGGTATAATCGACAAATATTTTGTTTTCCTACCGGAATATTTCTAAATTTTGTAGCTCGACATAATATTCTATGAACCGCTAACAGGGAATCACAACCTTCTTGAAAGTATTCAGCTTTCCATAATTCGGTATTTGATATTTCTGGCTCCATAAAACTATGTTTAAACCGAATACTAGAAGAAGGTGCAGGTTTATACCACTTGATATATGCTAGGAGGTGAGTTTTCGTTCCTTCTGGAAATCTAAGGGCATGCTTGAAATAATATTGGACTTCACCCGGATAAGTATCAACTGAATCATCATTAGCTGCTTTCCATTTTGCAAATATATTCGCATTTTTTCATGGCGACCAGAAATCATAGATCTAAATATTTCGGTGCCAATTTGTAGTCTTGCATGCTGATTCATATGCAAATCCATAAATCCTAACACATCTTCTTTTTCCCTTTCATATAATATTGCATACCATTCACATAGAAATCCTCGCAACTCCAAAGGCATAACGACATTGATATATGATGGGTTAAGCATTTGGCCAGGTAATGGTTCAGTGCCATATATTTTGGAAATCATAGACGTATTATGTCTCATGAATAAAAAATGCTGCAATTCCTCCCTTTCTGCTGTGATTGCTAAACTTTCTACAGCTTTTTTTGGTACAAGAATATGGAGAGATTCATCTAGAAGGCCAGATGTCCATTTACATGATAAGTGATAATCCACCAAAGTGTTTTTAAGATCAATTTTCATTAATTTGGGTTCTATTTGTCTGTTACTATTAGGATATGATTCTAAATAACAGGAATTTTTTTAATAAAGGTACTAAAGACAATTGAAAGACACTGAAGTAAATTTACCTATATATCCATTAAGTCTTTCAAACGGGAAAAGCCAAAAACTATATATAGTACCATAATCACGACAGCAATCAGGGATATGAAGTGCGAGATGTATATTGCTTATTATAAATTCTGGTCCATATGTATATTCTATAAGGTAGGCCATATCTTTTAACCTCTCTTGCGCCTCCTTCAAATCATCATCTGTAATAAATCTTGCTACTAAAAGATTACAAGCTCGAATAAAATGCCCTAAGATCTTTCTATCATTATCATCTAGCATATCCCATAATATAGATGTAGAATAAATCATAATAAAGGTCTTCCATTGATCAGCAG